CATCTCGTCGCCCCAAAGTCTCCACACCAATGAAGTGTCTCCTATTGCCGTGAGCTCGGCACCAACGCAAGAAAGGACCCCTACCAAAGCTGAAACAATGAGTTACCTTTCTGCCAATACACTTCTTCCAATTGTTGTTGACTTCTAGGACTTTACACCAACGGGAACTGGTCGCGACCCAATAATGCCTAGAACAATCACCAACTGTGGAAACCAAGATACGATTACCTCCCAATGATGCCTCCTTGGAAGGCCCCCAAATGCCTGACTGAACACCTCCAAAAAGACCCCTCGCTCGATGGATAGAAGTGCCAAACTCCACCACGGTCTCGCTCATCCTAATGTGCTCACAGGACTTCAATCTGCAGGTCATAGCACTCCTCAACAACCAATGCACGGTATTACCAATCATATACCCCAGCACCAAACAATGCCACAGTCTAGCCGAATCTGATGAAGTCGTCATTTCCCTATCAATCACCGTGCTTCCGTGCAAATAATACAAATTTCTTCTTCTGACGCCCTTCATCACAATCATGGACCCAAATGTAACCTTCAAGCGTGCATCCGCCAAGGTCACCCTATAGCCAGCTGCCTCCAAAGCTCCAAGTGAAATGATGTTCTTCTTCAACTGAGGAACGAACCTCACTCCAACCAACTCCCGAATCACCCCGTCACTCATCCTGATCCGAACAGTACCAATACCACCAATAGAGCATTTGTGATCATTCCCCATGAGCACGAAATCCCCTCTTTCCAACTCCTGAAAGCTGGAGAACCAATCCCTCCTAGGGCAAATGTGGTATGTAGCACCCGAATCCAATATCCACTCTGTAGAGTAGGCAACACAAACTGACGGCAGTGCAGATAACGAGTAGCCCGAAGAATCCGAATCTGAATCGTTGCCACTAGCCTTGACAACATTCGCCTCTGAAGCTTGAATAGCTTTTCCCTTATTCTTCCCGGCTCGATCAACTAACTTTGGGCAATCGGCTTTCCAATGTCCATCTTCTTTGCAAAAGGCACATTGATTCTTACGAACTCCAAGATGTGCCCCTCTAGACTGCGACCTCCCACTACGGTTTGGACCCTTTGCTCTTGCGACCAACGCCCCCGCTACCGGCTCAAACGAAGTCTCCTTATCCTTCTTTCGAAGCTGATAATTCACAAGTGCAGCGGTGACCTCACTATACGAAAGAGATGCCTTCCCATTAATAAGAGTAAGAACGAAGGTCTCATATTCCTCGTCAGGCAAGGAACTCAATAGCAACAACGCCTTGTCCTCATCTTCAATCTTAACATCCACATTCGCCAAATCCGCAAGAAGCTTCGTGTAGTGGTTCATGTGATCACCAATGGAGGTTCCTTTCTTCAACTGGAAGCGGTAAAGCCTCCTCTTCAAATGCAAGCGATTCTCCACACTCTTGGTCAAATACTTGCTCTCAAGGATCTCCCAAATCTTCTTTGCAGAAGTCTCATTGATCACATCATACTTTAGATCTTGAGTGAGACAAGACCTAATCACACCACACGCCGTTCGATTCATCTTTTTCCAAACCTTCTCATCAATGTTGTCCGGTTTCCCGTCCAACTCCAACGTATCTTCCAAATTTTGCGCGTTGAGCGCATCCATGACTTCGCATCGCCAAAGTCCAAAATTGTTTGTGCCATTGAACTTTTCCACATCAATCTTCATTGAGTGGATATTCAAGCTTTGGACGGTCTTCACGCCGGAAGTACTGCCCACAACTCCTTCTTTCTCGGCCATAATCCTCAAGGCACCACCAAACCAATGCGGAAACAAACGAGAAATAGATCCAAACTGAAAAAGACGAGATTTTTACAAAAAAAGATCCCACCTTTATCACCAAACGAAGCCCTAGATGAACTTCCAAAGCGATCTACTCCTCCAAATAGCCCAAGCGTTGCCCGTGCTCTGATACCACTTGTTGTGACTGATGCTTTGAGAAACCAAACCAACGAACGCCGAGAGAAAGACCAAACAAAACACAAACACCAAGGTTTTACGTGGTTCGGCAAATTGCCTACGTCCACGGGGCAAGAAGGGGGTGGGTTTTCACTAATAGAGAAGGAGAGTACAAATTGAGATTACAAATCGCTCAAACGAACCAACTAATCTCACCAACAAATCTCTCAATCTCTCAACCAATAACCCTAACAAATAGCTCAGAAAGATCTCTCTTTTTCTGTGCTCCAAAACCCCAAAACTCTCCTCACAAAACCCTCAAATCGTATTGGTATTTATACCAAAACAGAAACCCAAACAGACTGCAAATAGGAACCTGAACTTTCCAAAAAACCCGTCATAAGTCGACTTATCAGTCTGCATAAGTCGACTTGGCAGAGCGAAAAACAGCAACTGGAGAAGAGATCATAAGTCGACTTATCAGACCTGATAAGTCGACTTGGCAGAGCAAAAAACCAACAATCCAGAGCAGAACGTAAGTCGACTCATGCACCAACATAAGTCGACTTACCATAAGTCGACTTATGCCTGTGCATGAGTCGACTTATGACCAAAAATCTGCTTTTTCCAATTCTTCTCCACAATTCTCCACCTCGGCGAAGTTTTCCCAAAACTGAGCCGACACCAACCAAACAAATGCCTCACATGCTGAGACCCAAATGAGAGTGTGAACACTCACCCCAAATGTCGATGTCGCTCACCAAATCGGCTGCATCAAAATGACTGCCTACGTATCCTTTGCCCAAGGAATCAAGCCTTCACGTAGTTCACCCAAACGGCCTCCAAAGGCCCTCAATCAAATAGAAAAGTCTGCAACTCTTCTCCAATATCACCAAACGATCTGCAACTGATAGTATTCCCAATGACCCCAAATTGAGACAAATCAAACACCTCCACCTGAGGTAAACCAATGGCCATATCCAAACTATATCTACCAGCTGCAACTGAATCCAAAACCAATCCATCATCTGCATCCAAAACCAAATGATCTCCAACCTGTGTCACCTTAGCTGGAATCCCAAATGACGCAGTATGATCTGGAGTATGTGGAGTAATCTCCACCCAACGTGGAGTAGCATCACTCTCCACCTGCTGCGATATCCAAATGACCTGATCAACACTCTCCACCTGCCGAGAGTCAAAAGTGACATACCTGCTCAGATATATATATATATATTAATGGGTATCCTTGTCATAGGAGGGGATTTCCTCCTTGACGCCTCTAAAATCACATGATTGAGTAATATTATGAATGATCCTCTCCGTTGAACTTGATCTACATATTCTAAAACCCCAACACACAAAATTTGGGGCGAATCCGTCATTGTTATATTAATGGGTATCCTTGTCATAGGAGGGGATTTCCTCCTTGACGCCTCTAAAATCACATGATTGAGTAATATTATGAATGATCCTCTCCGTTGAACTTGATCTACATATTCTAAAACCCCAACACACAAAATTTGGGGCGAATCCGTCATTGTTTGACCCTCCATCGAGCTATGTGAAAAGTTCTATTCATTCAAAACCGTTAAAATTGATACGAGTGGATGAAGGGTCAAACGACGATGGGTTCACCCCAAACTTGATGTGTTTGGGTTTTAGAATATGTAGATCAAGTTCAACGGAGCGGATCAATCCATTGATGATTACTTGATTGACCTACATTGTAGATGGTCCGTTGAACTTGATCTACATATTCTAAAACCCCAAATTTGAAGAATATGTAGATCAAAACTTGATCTACATATTCTAAACTCCATTGATGATTACTTGATTGAGCTACATAAGTTTTAGAATATGTAGATCAAGTTTAACAGAACGGATCATCCACAATGTAGCTCAATCAAGTAATCATCAATGACTAAGAAACTTAGTGAACGTCTACTTAAGTTGACATAAGTTTTTCTCTGATTACTATGAATAAGGTGCTATAGTGTAAATATCAATCGCTCCACTTAGCTGAAGTAAAAAAAAATATTATTTTATTAGAAACCACCTTAACAATAGGGTAATTATACGAAAACCCCCTTTTATTTTCAATTTATACATAAACCTCTTTTAAAGCAATTTTTTGTTGCAATCAATCACCTTATAGTCAATTTTCCAATAAAAAAATAAGCTTAAAAAATGCAAGTTTAGAATATGTGAGTTGTATCCTAATAAGATCTAAACACTAAAAAATGAGTTATGTACATTGAATGCAAGTTTTTTAAGGGCTTGTTTGGATTGAGGGGAATAAGGATGAAAGGAAGTTAGGGGAACCATTCACCTTGTTTGGAAACATTTAGGAGTTGAAGTTATTCACCCTAGTTCCCCTTGGTTCACCCCCTAATAGTATAAAATTTGTTACCCCCAAATTGGGGTGTAACCAAGGGGAATGGAAGGGAGGAATGGAACTCCCTTCCATTCCCTTCCATTATCTCACCTAGTTTCCCTTAACTTCCCTTAACCCCATTAAAATCCAAACACATCCTAAGGGAAACTTTTGGTTTCAAGTGAAGAATTTGACTGGGAGGTGAATGGTCGCAACAAAAACCAACTTTAAAGGCGGTTCATGTATAAATTGGAAATAAAGATGGTTTTCGTATAATTACCCTATTTTTAATGTGGTTTCTAAGAAAAACCCCTTAAAAAATGATTTAGTTTACACAATGGAAGAAGTAATACTATGGGAAGAGCCACTAGCTAAGAAAATCTTGCCATAAGCACCGAGACAATTTCTAAATTTTGTGTGAGAAAGGAGAAAGTATAAAGGAAATCAAGTTTAATAGACTTCGTATTCCAAAAGACATTTGATCGAGTGCAAAACAAAACAGTTCACAAACAGTGAAAGTATCTAGTGGATCTGATCCATTGGAAAATTTTCCCTCACAGCCAAGTTTAAAAGATTTGCAAAGTTGCCACGAACGATAATTGCACTAAAAAGGGATTGGGATTTCGCACCTTTACCCTCACAAATCATTCATTAGGACACATGATTAAACTACTGTTGCACACAAAACCTTCCCGATTCTCGAAACAAAAAATTTAACTTGAAGAATATTATAAATCTTTTAACAACATAAGTTTACATATGTCATCAAAATAAATAAAAATAAAATAAAATCTCTACCTATTTTCTGTTCTTTAGCCACCCCCTCGTGACATAAAATTAGACAAATAATTAAATCCAATTTAAGCGTGCTGTCCAATAGCCTTCCCACAAAATAGTGCATTATGAGGTATAGAATACTCATTGTAAAAGCTCGTCTCAGGTGTCCAAACTCTCATATAAAACTGTTGCCCTAAATACTGTCTTGCCCACATCGCAGATCTAACGTTCCACATTCCTTGATTATCTAGTGATACCAAGATTGCGGACCATCCATTTGGATAAACCTATATCAAAAAATATATATACATACATAGAAGAATTAAGCAATTTGAAATTGTAAATGAGTGTTTTTGAGAAAATGTGAACGATTGTACTTACTTGAACTGTATGTCTGGTGACAGCGTCAACTAAATTATATGTTTTTCTCTGATCATTTGTCCATTTTCCAGAACCGTAACTGTATTTATCAATTGAAGGCAACCATTTAGTTTCAGATGCATAACACATTTACCAGTCAAAGAAAAATGTATCTCATTCGCATGACAGATTGACGAAAATCTAAAAACGAAGGTGGTCAATATATATATTATATATATATATATATATATATATATATATATATATATATATACTAGCATAAGGTCATTTGACTGGAGTAGGGATTTCCTGCCTATGACGCCTCCTCAAATCACATGATTGAGCCGACCAATGAGTCGAGTGATAACCGCCCTCTGTGCTGAACTTTGATCTATCAATATAATCGCTAAAAGCACACCAACCACTAAGTTTGGGGATGAACCTCCGTCGCCGGTTTGACCTTCATCACTCGTATCAATTTAACTGTATTTGATGAATAGAACTTTCACATGGCTCGATGGAGGGTCAAAGCGACGACAGGATTCACCCAAACTTGGTGTTTCACGGGGTTTAGAATATCGTATGAACTCAAGTCTCAACTACGGAACGGATGATCCTAATATCGGCTCAATCAATGTGATTTTAGAGGCGTCAAGAGACACATCCCACGCTCCTATGCCAAGGATACCCATTAATCTATATATAAATAATATATACTAATATAATATTATATACTATATATATATAATATAATATATACATATATATATATATATATTATTTCAGATGTCATACACACTTTAGCCAGTACAAAGAAAAATGTATCTCATTAGCATGGAGAAGACGATACTCGACGAAAATCTAAAAAACGAAGGGGTGTCAATATATATATATAATACAGCTATAGTACACTATATCATAATATAGTATATATATACTCATTAATAGATACCTTTGATAGTATCATTATATATATTTCATGATTCATAATGATACGTACCGATAGAAATAACTGCATTTCTACAGATAACAGGATCAAATTGGCATTCCCCCAAAACATCCTCGATCCCACTAACCGAGAACAGGAACGGGATTTAACTGCAGTAGACTAAAGGGTAAATCCTACTCATAAGTAAAAATCATGTATTTGCATTGAAAATGAACATTAATTAGTGTTCAATTGAGGTCTCTTGTCTTTCTGACAGCATAATATGCTAATTGACTTGAGGAAGAGAGATTATGATATTGTGTCACAGCCTCCCTTGGATGAAGACTCATTCAGCAGAGCGTAGAATTTTGTATGAAAGCAAGATATATGCAGTAACAATCAGCTGTTAAACAGAGATATTTCTGAAATCTTGCTCTATGACAAATTTATTTTAAAAAGGAGAAATATACCACCAGCTTTTTTTCTTTTAATTGGATTTTGTTTCGTCAATTTCTCTTAATGAACTGCATATGACCATTATTGAGACTATGATTATTCAAAACAGGAATATTGAGAACATGCAGATGCTCTTATTCATTTAAATTTGTGTATTGTTCTAGAGAAGATTTTTCCCGAGATCAATACTTGTCTTAGCAGTTTAAGCATGACTTTTTCATGTGATAACATGCCACAGGCAAGGACGCTTAGTTTGTTATAACTATCAGCGAAACATGATAGATGCTGGTTATCACTCACGTAACACACAAACTTAACATGATAAACAAAAAACTATCTAAATGAAAAAAAAAATGCAAATTAAACTTACCCGACAACCCAGAAATCATATCCATCTAGATGCCACGACTGCATCTCGTTCTCATTGTTCTGAAACACTATCTCGACAAAATCATGTAGATTAAACCGAAGAGCAGTGGCACCAATAAAGTTACCGTTATTGTTAGGATCATTAGGCATGCCATCCCAGCTAAATACTCCTTCAATATTAAAATTATCCGCAAGCTTTAGAGGTGTATCAGGCACAACGTAAGATACACCGTTGACAGCATATCTCTGCTTGCCATTGATCACTGGCGCCGAATTACCAAAGACAAGTTGCCTTGTTATAGGAACTGTACCATAATGGTATGAGCCTTGAGGGTTAGGTCTTGCCGCATTTGCAGTCAAATTCCACCTTTGGGACAAAAAAAGGAAAAAATAATCGATCAAAAGGTCGTAACGTCAATACAATTACAGAGTAAATCACGAGAACACTTCTTTTTTTCTTTTCAGAAAATGGAACCCTTCATTATATTATGCTCCTAAAAAAGAAGCCTCAGTCTATGACCAGTAGTAAACTTGTTAAATTTCCAGTGGATTATTACTTGGCACCTTGTCGTAGGGTATAAATGTATGGGTGACCTGATATTCATGTATCTACCCACACAGATGACCTTGACATTAGTGACTGAGATTACACGAGTAACCCTGAATAGTCCGAAGAATACTTTCATTAAGGTAACTCATGTTATCTCATTTGGTAATCTCAGGGGTTATGCGTGCAGATACATAGACCCATGATCACTCACATAATTACATCATACTACAGGGTACAGGGATGTGAATAATCCTTTTCTAACAGAGTTTTTTGTTCAGACATCCAGGCAAATGACCGACGTGGATGCAACTGCACTTCAGAGTCCAAAAATAGCTAGTTTTTGGGTAAGGTTAAAAGAATCTCATTTTCTATCATTAATATAAATATCATGTCATTTCATAAGAACCAAATTCAATTATAAAACTAATTATTTCATTAATAATCATATATGAGATTCTTAAAAAAAACATGGTATCGATAAAGGAGTTTTTTTCCCTAACTTATTCTATCATAAATTCATAACTAGATGTAAAAGGACCGTTACCTAATGCTCGAAGCTTGGTTCATCGACCAGTCTAGCCCACCCGCAGTGCTTGTGGGAACTGGACCAAATACACCCAAATTAGAGTTGCTATAGTGCAAAACCGCAGTCGCTGTCAAAACGATGGAAGTGAATCGAGATGAGGCGATTATATAGTAATCTTTCGATGGTTGATCGAGGGTGACGAGCACTGTCGCAGATTGTCCAGGATGGATATCGAGTGAATCATACGTGTTTTGAATTGTATGCGATCCTTCGACTTCAACTAGCTTGAGCTGGTGGTTTTGGATCATAAAGTTGATCGATACCGATAGACCCACGTTTGACACTCGAAACATGTAAGTTTTTCCTGGAAGAAACAAGCGCATATTCTCGAATCAGATAATTGATATTCTTATAGAAAAGTTCTTTTGGTTATAAAAGCAAAGCTTTTCCGCGATCTACTTTTAAACCCACTTGCTTACTCCAAAAAACAACTGCAACAACAACAAATCCTGTATCGCTGGGGTCAGGTATAACTCCAAAATACTCCACTGGATTAGATTCCGACCACTTTGTGTGCTTCAGCAGTTATTTATACGAGATTATTTTCCACAAAGTTACTATTACTACTGTTTGTCGTAGATTGTTATATTCAGTTGTAAGATGCGGTGTACCAAACTGCTCAAATGCATGAAGTAGGTTTAGCAAAAATTCAATCGGAAGTGACCGGGTTTAAAATAAATGAGAGTAAAACTTGGGGTTTATAAGCAAAGACCACTCGTGTAAATTTTAAAAAAAAAACGTTGATTTTAAAGGGGAGGCTGGAGATACCTTGATCCCCGGTAAAAGAACCGGCCTGCTGACCTCCATTAATTAAAAGTCCGTCAGGGAATCCAAGAGCACTCCCAGAATCCAAAGATTGTTGCAACACCTGCAAATATCAAAATAAAATAAAAATGCCACCACCAAAAAGTATTCGACCAAATGCCTGAATGAAAAAATTTTCTACCTTATGCCCAGCTTTAAACCAGTCACCAACAAGCAACGTGAAATCCCCAGCGGGAGGATCATACGGGATCGGAATCCTCGGCCTCGCATACACGTTCAGAGCACCATATCCACCCGCTGCTCGATGCATCGCCGTCGATGGAAAATACGTAAAAGTCCCAATTTGGTCCTTGGTTTGAAACTTGTAGGTGTAGTTTGCGCCCGGAGGAATTGGGCAGTTCGTGCCGAGGACCCCATCTTGCCAAGAGTTCTTCCTCTGCTTGATCCCGTTCCAAGTGATGAGGAAGGGCTCGTCGAGGTTGTTGACGACGTTGACGATGATGTTGTCGTTGGTTACGCAGTCGAGCTTTGGGCCGGGGAACTGGCCGTTGATGAGGATGCCCTGCAAATAGAAAGGCGCATACCCACTAACCCGTTAACACATTAACTATTTGTGATTTATGCAACGGATGGATGAGCCAGAATGAAGTAGAGGACTCCACCCAAGTTTCAAATTTTCTCCTATATATATATGTATATGTAAACACTAGTTATATTTACCTAAGATTTTTTTTAAAAAAAAAAGTGAAGTAAATTTGGAAACTGACCTGTTGAGGCAAACCAAGAGGAGAAATAGGTCCATAAGTGACAGTCCAATCGAAGAATCTATAAGGGTCATCTGCGCTCGTTATTGCTGCAGAGATCAAGAAAATGAGAAGAAGAGACAACTTCTTCATTTTTGGGGGGGAAGAGAGAGAGATGGCAATGGTGTTGAGTGAGAGTTGGGGGAGGGGGAGAGGGTTTTAAATGTAAGAGGAAAGATGTCGGTGTCGCAAATGTAGGCCCAACTGGAGCTCGAAAATTTAGGCCCAATTAAAGCGCGGCGATGCTCCGGTTCTTGACGCGTTTTCGCGTATTTTGAGGGGAGTTTGATGGCGACAGTGGGAGGGTGGAGGCCGTAGGGTTGGCATTGAGTGAGGGGCATGTGAGCTGTTATCTTATCAGTGCTGTCTGGGTTCGATACCGATGCCCACCGTCATGGATTTTCTTTTTCTTATATTTTATTTAAAAAATTCTTTAAGGATCCAAAATATGGGACAAATAAAGAAGATAAGTGAGGTCTCTCTCTCCTATTAGATAATGAATTGGCCATCATTAATGATGACCAACTTATTATCTAATAGGAGGGGGACACCTCACTTGTCCCCTTTATTGGTCCCATATTTTGGGTCCCTGTAGCAAATGATCAAATTCTTCTCAGAAGTCGGAAGAAATAACAATATCATAGTATTTGTTTTTGCATTTCTCTTATTTTATGTAATTTTAAATATATTTCCAATTTCAAAAATGGATAAAGAGTAAAAAAAAGTTTTAGATGAAAGTGGTTAATAAGTTTTATTGGTCTGAATAAAATGAGATAGACTACTAAAATCTCATGAAAAGATACAAAAAGAATCCAACAAGTTGTTAATCTGTTATATATTTCATTGTGAATTAATAAAAATGACCAAATTGCATCCACAAGTATAGCTTATGGAGAAAATAAATATTGTTGATGCTCGTGAACAAACAGTCGATGGGGGTTTCAGAGTGCCTAGATTGTCGAGAGGGATGGATCGTCGAGAGGGATGGAGGGTCGTTTTCCTTCTTCGACTTTACGTCTGGTTCTTAGAACTCGGGGCAGGCAAATCACCTGCACATAAAAGAATCACCGGAGTACGGGGCTTGTTTCCCCCGTGGTAACTCCGATGGTCAAGTCAGCTAAAGGACTTAGGTGGATCCGTCGGAGAATAGGGTATCTCCTTAATATGCGACTATATGATTTATTTTTGTAGTCAGAAAGTTCGAACCTCTTTTTAGGATGAATAGCGTCTCTATTTATAGAGGATGCCAAGGGCAGAATAGGCATTTTAGTGAGAAGGCGGCTCATGATGATATCGAGGGGTGAGCTGGAGGCTGAGTCACCCCCCGCCTAACACGCGTCAATTGATGAATGATGGGGGGTCACTTCGGGGACATAGGGACTCAGCAACCGACGAGGCTTGTCAGTGGGTGACGTGGGGTCACTTCTGCAGTATAGGGACCCTGCAGCTGTCGTGGCTTGTCGGCAAGCGACCCTGCAGCTGTCGTGGCTTGTCGGCAGGCGACGTGGGGTCATTTCTGCAGCATAGGGACCTTGGAGGAAGAGTCGGCTGATTGCTGAATCACAATCTATGGGCCAACGGCATCCGCCCTTCGAGTCGTCCTTAGGGAACGAGGTCGGTCTGACCGAGTCTGTTCCTAGGACGACGTGTTTGTGAGGAACAGGGGACACCCTATAACATATCTATATATATGAATTGATACTTTATGTGGGAAATCGAGAGTTTATCCCTACTTTAAAGATCAATTAGTTATTTTATCTTTGACCATTTGTTAGTTAGTATTCACTACCTATAATTGTTAACTCAGCTTTTACAAACTCCATCAAAATTGTTTGAATATAGTATTTTTGTGATTGAATTATAAGCTATGGAGTCATAGATACCGTTTTTTTTTTTCGACTTGTCTCGTACACTAGGGGGTTGTCTGATATATTTTTTAGTCATAGGAAACTACTTCGCACCATTTTCTTTTTTCATGGAACTATTTTTCACCATTTAAATTCATTTCCTTACATTTCCTACCATTTCTACAAAAAGCAATTATTGTATTTGTTTCACCAATAGAGATCGCATGAAAACAGACTTCTCACTGCTTCCTTTGTTTGGGAAGACACAGAAATTTTTAGGAAATCCAATAAATGGTAATGCGTGTCCTCGGAGGTGAATACAACTTTTCTTAAAAAAAAAAAGTCTCAACGGAGGTGATTGTAGGTATCTTGTTACTCCCCTACAATTGAGTTCCAACCAATTTATATTTTCAAAATTGTTGAAACTGATGTCTCTGTTCTTAGCCCCATTTGTTCATCACTTCGAAAATTAGGTTTCTGCTATCTTTTTGTTGCCATCTAAACAAAGAATGAGGAAGGCTAATGGGAAATTAGTTTCTCAAGTCAAGACCGGACGAGCACGTCCTAAAGAACTTGGATGGTTTAACAAGAAAAGACAGTATAAAATTCAATTTCTCAATTAAAATCGTTAATTATTTTAGTTTATGACAACAACCACCTGTTTTGAGTTTTAGAAATGAAATAAAGTACTAATCAGAAATTAAGCTCTCCACCTTTCGTCCATGAGATGAATATCTTTACTGGTACACTAACCAAGGTCCATTTTTGCAATCTAAATATTTGTAGATGCTAGCAACCTCTATATAGAAAACTCGACAGCTTTCTTTACTTATTTGGCCTTAATCAATCACAGAGATTGGTCGAGACTGGATCAGTTGCTCGAATTTTGTTTTGTTCTAACTTAAGCAGTTTGAGTGTTTACTAGAAATATTCTTTTAAGATATTTAACACAAAAAAGGAGTAAAATCGCGTTTTCGGGTCATGCAATTGGGATGGCGTGGGTGTCCGTTTCGTGATTTAGAAATGAAAAACGGATGGTATACTTGCTGTGTATACTTTAACTACTGTTCATCGTAGATTGTGGTTATTAGCGGGCCGGGCTCTGGGGCCGGCCCGGATTTTTTTATTTTTTATTTTTTTAAAAGTCTCTTTAAATTTTAAAAAATATATAAAAAATTACAAAAAATGCTAATAAAAAACAATAATATTATTAATAACTTGAATTGACATAAATTACAAATGCAAAAAATTTATAAAAATAAAAGATGATACAATTAACTTCTTTATTAATAATTAATAAATCATTTACAAGTATAAATTTATTTCAGAATTCGTCGCATCACAATAAATAAGTACATCCCAACTAGGTTGGCACCTACTCACTTATATCATTATCATTTGTAACTGTTTTTAAAATAATTCATTACAAATTTAAAGCTAAGAAATAAAAATTACAATTTGATGAATATTGTTTAATCTTTATACACTACAACAAATTGTACTTTTCCCAACACTTATTCCCGACGCATGGTTAAATACGTCGCCAAAAATTATGTTTTTCCCAACGATTTTAGTTAGCGTTGGCAAAACATATATTTTTTCCCATGTTTATAATTAGCATCGCTAAAGTGTATATTATTAGCGATGTTTTAACTTAGCGTCGGTAAAAGTGTATGGATTTCCTGACGTTTTTTCATTTTTGTCGGTAAAAATATATATTTTTAGCGACGTTTTAGGCTGGCGTCGCTAATAGTGTGCATATATCGCGACGTGTAGGTAAGCGTTGCTAAAAGTCTATTTTTTATGACGCTATTATTCATCTGCATCGCCAAAACCTTTCGAAGGGATATTTCCCTCGCTTATTTTCGCGAAAAAGAGGGAAAAAACAAAAACCCCCCAAATCCCCCGTTCTTTCTCTCTCATCAGAAAATCCTAAATCCCCCCAAATCCCCCGTGCGCCCCGTCGGAGTTCGTCGCTGCCCCCAAATCCTCCGTCGGAGTTCGTGCGTCGCGTTGGACTTCGCCGCTACCCTCAAATCCCCCGTGCGCCCCGTCGGAGATCGCCGCTTGAACTAACACCTTTGTTTAAATCATAAGGCCACATCATCCCCGAAACCATCTGCCTAATCGGCAGCCCTCAAAATTTACTGCTGATCTCCAGCATCCGGTTCCCCAATCGCGGGAAAACTTCAATCCTCTTCAAAGGTGAAGTCTCTCTCTTTCTTTTCACTGAGATTTTACGTTATTTTTCTTATAATTTCTGCCTCGAATTTGGATTATTTATGGATTAGACTTGATACTTATATCTCTCTTTGTTGTGAAAATTGTCGATTATGTTTTGCTTCTGACTCTAATTCTCTCTCTCTCTCTTTTTTGATAATTAGGGCTTGGCTTCATAGCTGTATTATTTTTTTAGGCATCATATGCTGGAGTTTATTCTACAAAATATCAGAACTTGAGGATAAATCCAAACATAGAGATGGCTTTGTTCTACAAAATTTAAAGCTTGGGGCTAAATCTAAAAATATGAGTTATCTGAGGGATGCATATGCAAAAATCTCTTAATTTTCATGCTTAAAAATTATCATCAGTGATCAGAAATGCCTAATCATACAACTTTGTCATTTTTTACGCTAGTGCAATCGACGTTAGTTTATGCACCAAAATGATATAATGATATCCTTTATATGTCAATTTGATATTTTAGCCTATAAATTTTATGTGCTCTTTGTTATTAAGTGTATGGAAAAAGAATAAACTTCAAATAAATGGCGGTTATGATCTGGACAAAAACAATTATTTTTCGATTTTTTAAAATCTTCAATGAATTGAGCCTGCTCTTTTGGAATGCAATTTAGTTTTCATTGCAAGTTTTCATATACTGGAGTGAATATTGAAAAAGATGACTAACATACAGATGAGATAATCCAGCAATTTTATTACAAAAATATTTTGATAAAGTATGAAAACCCTTATTGTAATGAAAGTTTGCGATTTGCCGGACAATTTAAAGAGGTTTCGGGATTCATGGTATTTCTTATCGATCTTTGAACATCATTGAACGCCTTTATGCTAGATTAGGTAAATGCAGTTTTTGGTGCAACACTGAAGTTGAAGATAATGGAGCTGTTTTTGAGTGGGATAGTGTTAGACCCTAGAGGGGGGGGGGGGGGGGGGGGGGTGATTAGGGTCTTATGCTAATCTAGTCCGATTAAATGCCAATTAAAATTAATTAATACGTTATCCTAGCAAGTATGAAATACAACAATATTTGTAAGCTA